CCCAGGGTCTCCGCTTTTCAGGCTACTAAAGGTCGGTAGTCTCAGGGCGCTGCAGCAAGCCTCTTTGTCTCTAAGATGACTCCAAACGTCTCTGTCGGGCACATGGGCATGGCCTCCGTTATGGCCACACAAACCAGTCGGTGGTGCTTACCCAGAGTGACGTTTGAGGTTGCTTGCTTGGATTTTGGTCGTGATATGCTTCTGTGGCCAAAAACATTGAAAAAACTCTCACGGTAGTCCAGTTATAGGTCAAGGGATTAATTATTAATTGTTCAGCAATGTTTTCTGAGTCGCTACCTGGATGAGGATCCCAGTATTGCAAAGATTGTGACTTTCTGACTTCTTGAATAAATAAATTTTAATTGACAGAACATTGGTAACGACAACTCCATATCGAAAAGAGTGAACAAACCAGTTTCTTTACACGGATTCCAGATGAACATACATATACCTATATAGATTAATATACATATTCTTGACAAAATAGATGCTAACATATTCAAATGTATGTTTGAAACTGGCACCAGACTTTCAATTGCAATAGTCCCACAGTTGTTTAGGCTGTTGGGTGGATATCTCAACCAGCGTCTGCATAAATTGTAAACAAAGATGAAAAGATAAATATTTAATTATCTGAACAAGCAATCCAGTGGCAATACTTTCGAAACCCATATAGGTCATTTCCATCACGGTGATCAACTCTTGGCAGCAAAAGGCACGGAATTGGCCGATGAACTGGAAAGGAAAGTATCATCAACTGTCATACATAAATCATTTTGGAAAAACTTTCTACCCTTGTCTGATTAAGTTAAATGATTAAAATCTGCATATAGATAAAGTTAACCGACCCATTAGGTACAGGAAGTAACATTCTATCTCAAATATTAATTCTTGTAAAAATCTAGATGTATTCCCGCCCATCCCTACATTAAACTCTCCTGAAAGAGATTCCAAGTAAGCGATCATAGAACTATTGACCCAATTGAACTGTCAACTCATTACCGTCACTTCAGTGATGCTTTACAAAGTATCCTGCCTATTCCACTTCACCTCCATGACTTTTCGTTAATTAACATTTTTTCTGCTTTATTGTCTCAACACTTTGTCTTTGATCACTTAACAACGCTGTTAACAATGTCGTTAAAACCCAACTAAAACAAAAGCAGCAAAAAAAACACACTTGCAGTAGAAGGAAGAATGGAGCTTATAATGGTGCATACATTAATGACGAGGACGAGATCTTAAGAGGACCTGCTACGGCTGATGTTGCTGTGTTTGTCCTTTTTGCACTACATACATATGTAAGTATGTATGTTTATTTGAACCTGCTTGTTATCCTCACTGACATAACCAAACATGACATTTAATTGTCGGAACAAAAGACCCGACAAGACAAATGTTACTCTCACTTACACATGATTTTTGTAACCATCGCCGTCGAGCAAATGTGTCCGGTAGACGTCTGATGAACTCGCAGTCCCATGTGTTGAAATGTAGGCGCAGACACATCAAACAAATCTTGACAGCCAGCTAAAAAGCGAGCAGCCAACACTTTTCCGGCTGGCAAAGGGATGAGCTTTGGCCAAAAGCGAAGCACTGAAAATGAGCTGGGCCGAAAATATATTACGCAGAAAGTTACTTTCGAAGTGGAGGAGTGAATGGGTCAATACACAGGCAAGCATACATTTGTACGTACATAACTCTGCAAGTGTTTGCACACGTTGACGTCCGCGTTTGATGTGTTAACGCAGCTGAGTGTCATTTGTCGACGGATCGCTGAAGTTCAGCTCCAAAAGTCTCGAGCTGAAGCTCTCGCATTCCGCACCAACTAAGTATGTATGTACTTTGTCGTCATCAACTTCTTGCCGCTTTGCATATGGCAACAAAGAACTTGCAACATGGGATGCAGCTACCAGCTACATAGCTGCATGGTCAACTTAGCTCGCCAAAGTTGAATGGCGAGTGACAGTGACAGTGACAAAGGCAAGAAATACAAAACGAAAAGCAAGTAGACGCGAACCGGGCGAACAAAACTGAAAACACGCTGAAAAGAAAGCGCTGATAGCAGCAACGTACACCCTACCCCGCTTATCTCAATCCCCCACCACTGCCTATTGCCGTCAACGGCTTAAGCATTTGCTAAAACAATGACAAAGCTGAGACCAGACCAAGCTGCTGCGGCCTAATACAAACTGGAACAGACAGGCGGATAAACAGTGTTGTCCAGTTGAGCGACATAGTAAACGCAGCTAGCAGACAAATGTATAGACCAGCATATGAGTTAGACATCCCGACTAGACGGCATTGGCTAAGGAATGACTAGTATAACGGAAGTGTACAAGCAAACAAACAAGCCGAAGCGCAAATAAACAAACGAGCAAACAAGGATAAGCAGCAAAAAAACAGTACTGGCAAACAGTAGCAGCTGAACAGGCAAATAGACAGCCCAGTGCCCGGCGGAGACTTTCGGTGGCTGAGCACCAAACGACAACTGTGGCTCCACATCCATCCCTCAGTGGGACGGACAGTATCATTGGCAGTGATGTTTCGTCTCCTTTGTACGTGGTAAATTTGTGTTGATGTTTTCCACACATTTTCCGGTTGCCACTTTGCATTTGAACGGCATGGTTATGAGTGTCAAAGCTGCAAAAGCAGGCGTGTAAACAACAAAGTATGTAGAAGGAGTTGTGCAAAAGAAAAGACAATTGAAAAATATTGTTGCAGTTTCAGAATGGTAAATTTGGACAACAGAAAGTGGCACTAAGTGTATTGCCACCACTGACTCGAGAACTTCCACTCATTTGATTTTGTTTTCGTTTCGGTCGACGCTGGAGCTGCAGCTGAAACAAATCCTGACTAGCAAAACACCAGTGACAACTTAATCTCTTAATGTGTGTGCAAGGATTATTTAATTGTAGTCATGTGAAGTCCTTCACTCATTTGATTAAGGAAACGACGAAATAGAACAATCTTACGAGTTAACCAGCATTTTGAACGCTTTTGAATTGAGTCATTCAAAGTTTTTTTTTCCCGGTTTGCATTAATGTTTTCCTTGCTGGTTATAGCTAGAGCACTCAGCTGCCTAACGCTCATTTATTATACTTTTAAGCTAAAATTGTCCATAAAGGGCGGCAATTGATTCATTTGTTTATCTAAAAGCAATAAATTATAATAACTCACATATAGCAATTTATGGGCCTCCCCTAACGCGAAAAATATTGGGATATGGACGGCTTCCTCCCCATAATTGACTCCCCTTAAACTAATCGACCAGAATCCCTTGTTATCACCAAAGAATTAACTTTCAAAGTAAAATTCTGCTTTAAAAAATTTATATTTCAAAATCCAATAATTCTAATATGCACTTTCGGTTCATGTTTAGACCTTGGAATGCAAGGTTTCAAAATCTTTTCTTTCACAACGTGTTAGGGCAAGAAACTAAAGGCATATTAATGCTATTGAGATGAATCCTAACGGTTTCTCCCAAAAATCGGATTTTTATATACATTTAACTTGGACTGAATCTGAAGAAATGACCTCGCATAAAAAAACGCGTCGGTATTTTTTTACCTTGGACTGAATAACTTGGCGAATTGGGATATCAGGCACTCTGGCCAATGGTAACTGTCTGGTACCACCTCTGCATACTTGCAAGCTATGCAGAATCCGCAAAAAACTCCGGAAACCTTGTCCGGCGGACGCATCAGACCAGGCCGAGCATACTTTGAAGTACCATCAAATTATAACTTAAGAAAGTTTTATTATATGGCAGTTGAGAAGTGCGTGTGTAAAAATTTCATAAATTTAATTATGGAAACTTTGCACATGCAGCAGTGCATAGCATGCATTTAGGCGCCCGGTAATAAGCTGTGTCAAAAAATAGCATCACATCATATAATGAATCACAAGGAAAGAACCGTTTAGCCCTTATAATAAAAGGAAGGCCAAATTGCGAGCACAAATCGTAATTGCGAGATCTAAAATGTTTTAATATTAAATGAAGGTAGGCTATCAAAATCCTTTGGCATTTTATATAAGTACATATTGTCGGTTCAAACTTATGTATGTAAATTTTTACCTAACGTTATTTGTATGTATATTCCAAACATTTTATTAGACTTCACTGCTTCCGTGCTACGTACATTAATTCATTTTTGAACCGACTTCCAAAAAAGGAGGGGGTTATGAGTTCGTCGGAATATTTTTTGAATTTTTATATATGTTAGCGCATAACTTTGGACCACGTCAACCGTTTCGATAATTTGCTCGGGAAAGGTAGTGTCCAAGAGGTGGTCCCATATTAATCTGGTTTAGATCCGATCATTGGATCATGATGTTTTATAAGAGAATTGAAGTCGGTTTGGTTTTTGCTTAAAAATTACTTGTTATTATATCTTATTAAACCGAATTCGTTTATTTTAAAAAGTAGGTACTTTGAATTTTCACAATTTAATTTAAGCAACATGCATATGCGTCTGTAATCTGCAATACAATTTTAATTATGTATTACTTTCAGCGCCTGCGGTGTATTGCCTGCTGACCTCCATTTTCTACTTTGTAAGTGTATTATTTATCGCTTTTACACAAAGTATGCATACATAGTTGCGCTCACATACATTGTATCTGCGCGTAACAACAAAAACAGTACCTAATAACCGCTATGATGAAATTGAAATAGCAACAATAAGAAGAGCAAAACAAAGTAGTGAACTATATATATTTAATTTCAATTCCAATTATTTTGTGCAAAATTATTTATTATTTTTCACTCAACAAAGCGCGTTACTGAATGCCAATAAAGCAACAAGAATATCAGTACTAGTAGTAGCAACAACAAAATTACACTAAATATTAAATAATGCCATTGACAAGTGCAAATAAACTAGTATTGCAGTAGATAATTACAATAATAAGCACAGCACTCACACAAACTCGTGGTTTGAAATTTAATACAAGTCAAGCAATCGTACATGTGAACCAGTGAAACAGCAGTTGTTTGCATTCGTATAAGCGTTGGCATTTATTTGAACAAGTGAAACGGCAGTTATTTACTGGCATACAAATAATTTTAGTTTACCACATTTAAATTGCGTCAAGTTGGTTTTTGTGGCTTGATAATGAGGTAACAAAGTCGGCAGATTTTTATTGTATGCGTGTAAGTTCAAAGTGGTAAAATTTATTAATTTACTTATTTACTAGCTACTATAACAGTAGTGTTCAGTAAAGCGAAATCAGCTATCATTACACATATTAGGTGTATTCCCTAAGTCTAGCAAAATTCTTGCACGAGGTACAGATTGCGCGGCTTGCAAAGTTTTCCTATAGCCATACGTACATCGTGCGAGGATTTTGCAAGACTTAGTGAAGATAGCAAAATTTTGAAATTTTAGTTGGTACATATTTGTAAAAGGAAGCTTTAAAAGCTATGCTGATTTAATTGGGGGGAATTTGGGCATTCCTTAAATTAATTTTTGCATTCCTTAAATTAATTTTTGCATTTCTTCTAAAGTGTACAAAAATTTTGGAAAGACTTTGTTAAGCGCATTTTTAAATATTCATACAACGGGGGTACTTACGGCAACGATAGAAATAAAACTATCTCGGCGAAACGGTGCCCGGCGAACTTCGCATTTCGCTTTGGCTGTGTTCAATTTCATGTGCTTGTGGGTGTTCTAATTTTGACAGCGCGAATTTCGCTGTGGTGAGTTCGCCGTTCGCCGGCATTGTATTTCAGCTATAAGTATGAATATTTAAAAATGCACTCAACAAAGTCTTTCCAAAATTTTCAACACTTTAGAAGAAATGCAAAAATCAATTTAAGGAATGCCAAAATTCCCCCCAATTAAATCAGCACAGCTTTTAAAGTTTCCTTTTACAAATATTTACCAACTAAACTTTCAAAATTTTGCTATCTTCTCCCCATTTTTAAAACGACAGCATATTATTACCCTTGTTGCTGCATATTTGAACACTCGACAAATTTGCGGCTTTTGGTCCACTCAGCCGCACACACATTCATTAGTGTGCCCTGTGGCAGTGCGGCATGATGAATTTGTAATTGACACTGTAATGAAAGGATTTGTGGAGTGCAAAATTGCTTGATGTCGAAATTTGCCAGAGAATTCGTAGATGAGGCTGTCATAATATTTAATCAAAAACGAAGCACAGTACGTTCGTGTGATGGTAATAAAAGAAATGTGTTTAATGTGAGTTCTTTGAAATAGACTAGTAATTTTTAAGCAAAAATACAACCGACTTCAATGCATGTATGAAAATTTTAGCCGTTAATTTCTTCACGATCCAATGATCGGAACCAAACCAAATTAGTATGTGACTACGCTTAAGGTACCACCTTTCCGATTAAAAAAAATGATAAACTTTTTGTGAAGTCGGTTCAAAATTGGAAGATGCGTCCTTGTAGAAAAAATAATGTAATAGTTTTCAATTTCATACAATTATTTTTATTCCTAAACTTCGTTAATTGCCTTTTCTCTTTTGCAAGGTTGCGATAGATATTATTGTTGAAATTGGAGTTGATTTAAATCAATTAATTTGTTAAGAAGGTTCTTATTTCTCATATTCTCTTGTTCGAGTTTGGGGAATTCCTTTTCTTGCGTTTCTCGTCAGGAAAGTTCCCATGTATTTTCTGGGGAACCTATGTGTAGATGATATTTAGTATTAAAAAATTGTTAAATAATAATAATAATAATAGATTGGCGCTTACACATATGTAAGTGTTTGGCCGAGCTTCTCCTCCGATTTGTGGCGTGCGCCTTGATGTTGTTTCACAAAGAGGAGGGTCCTACAGTTTTGCGCCGACTCCGAACGGCGATTGTATTTTTACGAGAAGCTGTTTTTCATGGCAGAAATACATACAGAGGTTTGACATTGCCTGCCGATTTGCGACCGCTGTTAAGAAACCACCTTTTTTCTAACTGCTAACCACTACACCACAGCGGCCAAATGGGTATTATTATTGGAAGTCTCGTAAAGAGAAGCAGAGTTTTCCGATCGAAAATTATTGACTTTCAAGAATTCTATCCCATTTCTACGACTGCCCTAATGTGCATTTATGAAGTTATTAGCTAACCTTAACCTGATACAGGACTTACAATATGAAAATAGGCCTAGGGTTGCTGGTTCATCATGTTATCTCTTAAAGGAATATATTTACAATTAAATTACGGAATCCAGATTCCTTTCGGCTGTCGACTTTACTCTCTAAATGTGATGAGTATTTCAACTTAATAAAACAGCCAAAATATTTGAAATAATGTGAGCTTTCCAGCTCATGAAACATACAGCGAGTCTTTTAGCTGTTCTCTAATGTATTTGCGTTTAGAATAACGAAGCTCTATTTGATAGCATTTATTTGCCCAGACGTTATGCAACTTATATGGAGAGAGAAAACTTACAGCATTCTGCACTCAATAGAAATAACTCCACACATACTTTGCCTCAAAATTTGGAGACCGCCAGACTATCAGTCCAGCGTAGACAGAACTTTGACGGCACTCCATTCATATAAAGTTTTGTTTTAGTCTTTTGTGTCGTTATATTGCTGATTGAGACATTTTGTGCCTCTTAACCGCATGTCTCCAAACAAGTATATTTCAAGTAAAATAATATATTTATGTATATTTATATTTAATGCAAGTATCTTGTCGTCATTGGATTCCATGCTCTGTTGTCCTTGCATTGCTCGCTGTAGTCTCGCTCTTCCTCCTTATTTACTTAACTGCTTGTCGTTCTGCTGTCTGCTGGTCGACATGCCTGCCCACCTGCCGCGCTTGACTCTACCTCTCAGCTTTTGGTTGGTTTCTTGTATCTCTGATTTGACTAATTGCTGGGTAAATCTTGGTAAAACTTTTGAAATTAATTAAAATTTTCAAGGCGCGTAACGACGCGACAGCTTGAAATTGGTATGTTTGCAAATGGGTAGCTGGCTACAGACAGGCTTAGCTGATGAGCGAGACTGTTTCTTGAGGACATTTGTTCCCCATACGTGATTTTCGACAATACAAAGTGTCGTTAGTCATTTGTATTTATGTACATACATATGTATGTATATATGTATGTATGTACAGTGTATGTGTTATGTTGTAATTACTCTTGGTAAGTTTATGTTAATGGCGTTATGATGAATATGACATGCGATGTGTGAGACTATATTAGTTGTTATTGCTACATACAGCGTATTCTAATCCTCTAGGTATTCGAGAGTTAAAACAAAAAAAGATACAGAATTTTGGTTGGAGAGGGGCTATTAGGGGTTAACTTGTCAAATGAGGTTAAATTAACAAGACGTCTAGTCTAACTCGTTTAACTGATGAGTGACCTCTCGAAGTTCAAGCTGTATGACCCATCAGATTCCAACCGGTAATATACCAATTTGTAAGCAAAAAATACAGCTGACTTCAATACTGCGTTACCGTTAATTTCTTCATGACTCAATGATTGGCACTAAACCAAAGGAGTATGGGCACACTCTTGATGCACCACCTACAGGCCCGACGAGAGGGAGGGCGAAAGGGGTGAATCCCTGCGGGCCCGGGCCTTTATAGGGACCAGACATATCAGAATCACAACTTGTTATTATTTTGTTACAGTGTACTTGCTCTTTCGTTATAGGCTTTTATTATAAATATATTCCGATCCGTTCTGATTGTTTCTGACATCACATGCTTTTAAATTAATACAATTTGTGTATAGGTGCCCGAGTTTGTGTACGCGATAAAGTACCGAAATTACTAATTTTTTCGTTGTC